ACCTCGTGATCCACCCGCCTCGGCCTCCCAAAGTGCTGGGATTACAGGCATGAGCCACCGCGCCCGGCCAATTTTTGTATTTTTAGTAGAGATGGGGTTTCGTCATGTTGCCCAGGCTGATCTCGAACTCCTGGTCTTAAGTGATCTTCCCGCCTCAGCCTCTCAAAAGCACTGGGATTACAGGCATGAGCCACCGCGCCCGGCTTGGCCTTTTGACTTCATCTTTATCTCTTCATGGCCACAAAATAGCTGCTGGATCCCCCAGTCATTGCATCTATATCAAAGCAGGAAGAAGAGGGACAGGGCTAAGTTTATTAATTGCATCTGCTGTTTTCATCAGGAAAAGAAACGTGTTCCCAGAAGACTCCCAACAGATTTCCTGTAATATGTGGCCAGAAGTGGTCACATGCAAGGGATGCTGGGAAAATGAATATCTGGCTTTCTAGCCTTTATAGGGGGAGGCAGCAAGGGAGTTGGGAATGGCAGTTGTGTAGCTGGGTGACCGTGTCTGCCCCATGTGTTGGTAACCACTGGATTTCTTAGTGGGAAGTTACCAATCCTCTGTGAATAGCATCTCATGAGGCTGTTAATCACAATGGCCCACCTTTCCCCAGCCAAGCCAGGGTCACCCAGGCCAGGCCAACCAGAATCCCCCACTGTGGCATCTGAATTAGGATTGTGTTTGGCTGCAAGTAACATGATACCAGCGTTCCCTTCATCAGCAGTATGCGACAAGGAAGTTCCCCCAGACTACACCAGGGCTGCCAATCCCAGTGGTTTCCAAATTGTTATATAAGAGACTTTCAGAGGTGGTGACTGGAACAAGGGGTCTGGGGACAGGAAGGGGCCTTGAGGATGTGCTCATAAGCCCCTAGGATGGTGCAGTTTTTGGAATTGTGTGTTTTCGCATTCTGTGGCTCTTAGAGGCTGGTGTTTACCCTCAGGTGCATTCTTGGCCTCTGAGATGCCATGGTTCTAATCCCCCCTCCTCAGGATTCACTACCCGCTGCCCCTCCCGTACCAGGGCAAGCCAGACCCTGTGGTTCTGCAGGGCATCATCCGGTCACTGAAGGAGGAACTGGGCCGCCTGCAAGGGCTGGACGGCCAGAACACTCGGGACACCCGGGAGAGTGAGATCTGGCGCCTGCGGGAGCAGTGAGTCTCGGAGGGGTGGGCAGCTGGGGCGGGTGGGAGCCTTGGAGCCCTCCCATCATGCACTGCAGGGCCCATGCTTGGCCCTGTGGGGAGGATGACTGTCCTTTGCCTACCATGTATTTATTCATTTTTTTTTGCGACAGAGTCTTACTCTGTCGCCCAGACTGGAGTGCCGTGGTGCGATCTTGGCTCACTGCAGCTTCCTCCTCCTGGGTTCAAGCCATTCTCCTTCCTCAGCCTCCCAAATAGCTGGGATTACAGGCACATGCCACCATGTCCGGCTAATTTTTGTATTTTTAGTAGAGAAGGGGTTTTGCCCTGTTGGTCAGGCTGGCCTCAAACTCTTGGCCTCAGGTGATCTGCCCGCGTTGGCCTCCCAAAGTGCTAGGATTACAGGCATGAGCCACTGTGCGTGGCCTCTGAGCCCCTCTTCTGTACCTTTGGGCTGGGTGGTGCTGGGGACATAGCGGTGACCAGACTATCTTGGCACTGCCCTCCTGGGACTGCCAGTCCAGGGAGGGAGGCAGATGTGTTTGCAGACAGTGAAGGCTCAGAGTGGGTGGGGACCTGACCCTGCCTGGAATGGGAAGGGTGTTCTTGGCAGAGGGAGCAGCATGTGCAAGGGTGCGGGGAGGTCGAGCTCTATGTAGGTGAATCCACCTTCACAGGGTGCCCCTTCTGTGCTAGCCCCGTCCCTGCCACTCACGTGGTGCCCAGCCCTGGGGGAGATGGGTGCTAAGTATATAACCACCTGAGTATATCATTACAGACGGAGATGCCTGGGGCAGGACAGGGAGCCTGTGCCATGCGAGGCTGTCACAGGACTCCACTGGGGTGTGGGGTGGGTCAGTCACAGGGGCTGGGGAAGTGGTGTAGGCAGAGGGAACAGCCTGGGCCAAGTCCTTGTGCTAGATGGGAATGTGGTGAGAACAAGGGAATGAATGAAGTGAAAGAAGCAAAGGCTTCTGGCGTATATATTCATGCCTGCCATGTGCTCGGTTCTGTTGGGGAGGTGAATCTGGGGCTTGATCTCTACTGGGGAGAGGCCTGGCTCATTGTGGACTAATAATATTTTTAGTAATAATAACACCAGTAATTAATGATTATTGAACATTTAACTGTATGCCAGGGCTGCTCTGTGCTTTATGATTGAATTCATTTTATCCTCACAGCTGCCCTATAAGGTAGGCACTGCTATTATCACCGTTTGACAGAGGCCCAGAGAAGTTAGGGACCTTGGTGCAGGTCACATAGTGGGTAATATGGCTAGGCTGGACCTTAGATCCAGGCAGCCAGCGCCGAGCCTCTGTTGTTTTCCCAGCTGTTTGCACTGTTTGTGGCTGCAAGCCCAGGACAGAGCTCTAAGTGCTGACCGGGAGGACCAGTCCTTATGGGAGCTCACGGGGCTGGGGAACCCCGACGGTCTTCGGAGGAGCTCGCCTGTGTACTGCTGGGCGGAGGAAGGCCTCAGTGGGGAGGCCAGAATTTATCCTCAGGATCTGCTCTCAGGCTGTGTGTGTGTGTGCACGCGCGCACGCTCTGTCTCAGGTGGTGTGTATGTGTTTCTAGGTTTGTGTTTCTGGATGTGTGTTTCCCAAGATGGCCACAAGGTGGCGCTCTCCACCCTTTGGAACCAACCACAGAAGCCTTGAGATCCCAACGGTGCTCAGTGGCTTCTCTTCCTCTTCCCAGCCAGGAATTAGGGAGTTTGGAAAGGTTCTGAGATTTATTCCTTCATTCAGCCAACATTTATGGAGTTCATGCTGTGCCAGGCACACTGCCCGACTCTGGTTAATGTTTATTATGCTAGACATGGTCTAAGCACTGTGAATAGATTCTTACAGCCTAACAGGCTGGCATTCTTATTATCGTCCCTCTTCACAGATGAGAAAAGATGGCCTGAGGCTCAGAGATGTGAAGTGAAACTGCCCAGGGCCACCCAGCTTGTTAACAAGTGGAATAGAGTTGAATGCAGTGCGCCCGGCCATGCAGCCTGGGGTCCTGTGCAGTGAACCAGACAGGTGGAGGCTCTGCCCCCAGAAAGGTGGGATCCACATGGGAAACGGACACTCCTCTACATGCCAGGTCTGCCAGGGTTGGTGCTAGGACGGAAAGGTACAGAGGGCTGGGAGAGCGGAGAACGTCAGGGGCAGGTAGGCTTTCCGGATGAGTGGGGTGGTTTTTGCCAGGAGAAGGAGGAGAGAAGGTTCTGGGAGGTGAGAACTGCATCTGGCTGGAGCCTGTGGGAGAGGGAGGCAGGAGGCGAGGAGGGGAGAAGTCAGGTGGGTAAGGGCTGAATAGAAAGGAAAGCTCCTTGTTGGAGAGTGTGGGGAACCACAGATTTTAAGAAGGATTTATTAGGAAAAATTCCAAGCACCACAAAAGTAAACAGTAGTATAATTTGCACGTACTTGTCCCCCAGCTTCAACAGTTACCCACGTTTGCCCATCTTGTTTGAGGTACTGCCACCCCCTTCCCTGTAGCAAATCCCAGTCTTCGTATCTCCTCTGTAAAAGCTTCAGTGTGTATCTTTAACATATAAGGATATAAGTGCTGTCATCACGTCCAACAACATTAACAAAAATTCCATCATGTCATCTGAAACCCATTGCGTATGTGTTCACACTTACACTTCTCTGATCACCTCTCAAGTGTCTTTTTTGCAAGTGGTTTGAATTCGTCCTGTATCTAAATATGGCTGCACATTGCAGTTTGTTGAGGTCTTTCTTTTCTCTTTTTTTTTCAGTCTTGCTCTGTTGCCCAGGCTGGAGTGTGGTGGTATGATCTCGGCTCACTGTATCCTTGACTGCCTGGGCTCAAGTGATTCTCCCACCTCAGCCTCCTGAGTAGCTGGGACTACAGGCACATGCCATCATGCCCAGCTAATTTTCATATATATATATATATTTATAGAGACAGGGTTTGCCCATGTTGTCCAGGCTGGTCTTGAACTCCTGAATTCAAGCCATCCACCTGCCTCGGCCCCCCAAAGTGCTGGGATTACAGGCATGAGCCACTGAGCTTGGCTGATGTATTTCTTAAATCTCTTTTAATTTATATCCCCTTCACCACTTTTCATGCTACTTATTTGTGGAAGAAATCAGGTTATTTGTCCTGTAGAGTTTTGCAGTCTAGATTTTGCTGAAATTTTCCCTAGCAAGCATACTCAGATGGAAAAATGAAAAATAGATTTTGCTGATTATATCGCCATGGTGTGTTTAATGTCCTCCTCTGTCCCCCGTACTTGCAGTGAAGTGGTGGCTAACCGTATATAGGTTATATAGGTTTAATCACATGTCGGGTAGGTTTTGGCAAGATGCCTCCTTTGGTGGTGTTGAGACTGATGGTTTCAGCTGTTGAGAGCTGGCTCCCTCTTTTATAAAGCTCTCTTCCGCCTTTCAGCCCGTGCAGTGGTTCATTCTAGATATGCACTCAAATTGCCCGGGAGCTTTGAAAAACGCCAGTGCCCTGGCTGCCCTGTAGATTCACCATTTGTTTTTGTTTTTGTTTTTGTTTTTTTTTTTTTTTTT